AACCCCATTAACAAACCCAACCCAGGTATCAGACGCGCTACTCAAACTACAAAAACCACCCGAGGGAACCACAGCTCGTGCTGGCCATATAGCTGATTTCGGTGAGCCGATACTTAGTTACTCCCACCGAAACGCCCTGATTAACAGCAGCATCGCGAAGTGCCCTTCTCGCCAACCATCGGGCGAAATGAAAACGCCCCCAAAGTCATCGCCCCCGCTTCAACATTCAAGTTCATCCCCAAATCAGACCCCGTGCCGGCGACCGAGTCGGTAGAGTCCATGGCTTCCCCGCCGGGACGCACTGGGTCGACTTTGCCGAGCCGGGAACCGTAGCTGTGATCGAGCAGCCCGAGGGACAGCACTGCGCCGTCCTGGGTGGGATCATGGCGGTCCGGATGAAGTATCTCGGGGTCAAGGGGGCCTTGGTGAACGGGCGCGTGCGTGACCTCAGTGAGATCAGGGAGTGTCGGCTCCCGGTAAGTTTCATCATCCTCTTGTTGCTTTTTGTGCCCTGGGGCTCTGACTGGGGTCGGTTAGGTCTGGGCTCGTGCTACTTCGACGGTTGGAACCGCTGCGGAGGCCAAACCGGGCGCTCGGAATGTGCCTGTTTCTCTTGGTGGGGTGACGGTGTCTCCGGTATGTCTTTCTTCTTGCTGTTGTTGAACCATGGCTGAGCGTCTCTTTGCGCTTAGGGCGATATCATCTTCTGTGATCCGTTGGAAGGCGTGGTTGCTATTCCACGCGAGCTTCTTGATCAAGTGCTCGATCTGATGCCTAAATTGGTTGCAATGGATGATAAAGTCAAGGAGGCTGTGAGCCAGGGGTCGAACGTTTTTGATGCCTTCAAGAAATTTAGAACGAAGATATAGTAGATCACCCTGTCCTGGTAGGGGGTTGCCCGGTAATGTCTGCGTCTACACGAGATTATGGAGAGCAATGGTACTTGTTTTCATAGTTGAACCACGATCTATTAACCAACCCGAAACTCAATCCTCATGCTTGGTATTCTGGGAAATATGTGTACAAATCAAAATCGTCATGCGTATATAAAATCGCTGTACAGGAAGAGAATCGAAGAAAAGTGAAACACAAAGACAATTTTAGAGCCAGCTCATTTATTCGCGAACCCAAACGGCAGCCATGCCCATACCAGTACCAACACACATGCTAGTGACACCAATCTTCTTGTCAGTGCGCTTCAGCTCGGTCAGCAGGGTGCTGATCTGGCGAGAACCGGTGCAGCCAAGAGGGTGTCCGAATGCAATGGCACCTCCCTTAGGGTTGATCTTCTCTTGAGGCAGTCCAAGCTCATTGACACACCACACGCACTGAGAGGCAAAAGCCTCGTTGATCTCGTAGATGTCAACGTCATCCTTGGTGATGCCAGCCTTCTCAAGGGCCACGGGGATGGCCTTCCAGGGGCCGATACCCATGAGCAGGGGCTTAACACCCACAACGCTAGCGGAGACGTACTTGCCGATGATCTTCTGGCCGAGACGCTCAGCAGTGGAACGCTTCATCAGCAAAACGGCAGCGGCACCGTCAGAGATCTGGGAGGCATTGCCGGCATGAATGGAGCCATCCTTAGCGAAAGCTGGGCGAATCTTGCCCAGGGATTCAGCGGTGATGCCGTCACGGATGCCATCATCGGCCTTGACGGTAATGGTCTTCTCCTCACCAGACTTGGGGTCGGTCCACTTGACCTGAAGAGGATAGATCTCCTCGTCGAAAAGACCAGCCTTCTGAGCCTTAACAGCCTTCTGGTAGGACGAGGCGGCGAAAGCATCTTGGGCAGCACGAGTGACGCCACGATCCTTGGCCATGTTCTCCGACAGAACACCCATGGGGACCTTGCAGTTGGCAGACTCTTGGTGGTTTTCAAGGAGGTCGGAGAATTCGGTGACAGCACCAGGACTAACATTGTCAATATATTGAAGGACTGGACCAATGGACATATCATCCACTTACCCATACTGAGAGGACATGCTCTCCACACCAGCACCAATACCAACTTCAATCATGCCGGACTTGATAGCATTGGCAATGTCAACAATGGCCTGAAGACCACTGGAGCACTGGCGGTTCAAGCTCTTGACAGCAGTAGTCTCGGGGAAACCAGCAACCAGGGCAGCAGCACGGAACTCGGTGGCACCGCCACCAGGGGCAAGGACGGAGCCGACAGCAACATCCTCCACGACGTTGGGGTCGATGCCGCTCTTCTCAATAACACCCTTGAAAACGCCAGCCAGGATATCAGCGGCCGCAGTATCCTTGAAGCCACCCTTTCCACCCTTAGTGAGGGCAGAACGAAGGGCACATGTCACGACAATGTCATCGGGGTGCTTCTCGGTGATGGCGGCGACGCCCTTCTTGCCACCAGGGGCGAAGTGGGAAGTCACCTGGGTAAGACGTTGCTGAGCTGGAACAAAAAAGAGGACATACGTTAGGCCATATTATCATATTGATTTAGTGAGTAACAAGAGGTTATTCAATCCCAACTTACCAGAGGACATTATGACGTCAGTGTAGTTTGAGAAGATACAAAGGAAGGATGAAAGGGGTATCGACAATCAAATAAACAGTAGGGGATAAAGAGAATGGAAGTGACAAGATCCCTTTTTATATCGTGTACCTGGGGAGACAACGTGGAGTAGAATCCACTTGGTCGGTCGGTCCTGTTGCCTTTTTGTATGCTCTTCCCCGGTCCTGTGAAAGTACCGAGGCTCACCCGCGTCATCGTTGTTCCGGGGGAATGCCAGTCACGGGATTTCCAGGCCACGGGAGGTTTTCATGTGAAGAAGAAAGTCCGAATGATCGTCCTGTTCCTATGCATTTGATCTTGTGACAATGATGCCGTATATGGGTAAAGCCGAGCTTCAATGGATCTTCTCTCCACACCTTCGCCAACTGTGAAGACAATGCTTGCATTTGGGGTTAGTCAAGCTCTATCCTTTTACATAATATGTGAGTATCCCATCAGCAGTGTGGACTTGCTACTTGAAATGTATATATCTCCTTCAAGAAAGACATAACTAAGATATTGACCGTATCGCAATACAAATAATTTTGCTCTCTCTGAGCATTTCTCCACAAAAACCTCATCGTATAGTAATTCGAGCGTACTAGTTAATAATAGCCAGTGGATATCTTTAACCAGACACACAGGGCCTTTTTTTCAGGTCATAGTTGCTACTTAAAAAACATTACTAGTCGAGATCCATGGAGGTTCCAAACCTACAAGCAGTTCCTGAGGCCAGCCCGGACTTTAGGTTGCGCTCCACCATTAAGCCCGAGAGCGGAAGAGTCTGGGCGGCGGAATTGCACCCCCAGACAACAACCTTTTTTTCTCCGCCTTAACAATCAGTCAGTACCTTGTTCCTGGCCGCATATATCACTGTATACGGCCACCGCGATCATCGACATGTCCTCGACATTTCTCCTACGCCGACTCCCGGCATCTATACCATCCGTATCGTCCACTCGAATTGTCGCATCATGCAACACCAGTCTCCTCAACCGTCTCCAGCCCTCACCTCATGTATATAACCCATTCTAGCCAGAGAACACCAACCCCGCGCGCAAAGCTAACGAAAATGTCTAATCATCAGAATGCCTCTGCACTGACACATACCCGACCATTCTCGCAAACAACTCCCACCTATTCCTCTCCTTTCCGCCTATCCTCGAACAACAATACCACCGCCCAAAATGACCACCCTCCATCTCCCGAAGAGTACCCCAACGGCGAACCCATGCCCTACTACAGCCCTTACAAGCCCAAGCGCCAATGGCCCCCAGACATGTCCAAGTTGTCGCCGAAACACCAGTTCCGACTCGAGCGCAAATATCGTCGGCGTGCCGCACTTAAGTTTGCGCGACCGAAGTGGGTGAAGGCGACGAAGTTGGTTCAGTGGGGTGTAATCGGATGTAAGTGTTCTACAGTGCTGACTTGAATATTATCATTATCGAAGTTTGTGGGCTGACAGATGCTGCCAGTCGTTATTGTGTATGCCGCGCTGTTTATGGAGTGGGATGAGAGGGGGAGCCCGTTTGATGAGGTAGGTGCCCTGTCTGATGATGCTGTCGGGCTCTCGATTATGGGATATTTTCTAACCCGGGGATCTCTTTTAGTTTCGAAGGGTTTTCTTTGCCGGTGTCAAGGGGGCATTTTCTACCCCTCCACCTCCAGGACCGGTCAAGAGGTCGGATGATAGCTGATATACACCAGGAATGGCTTGGGTATCTCCGTGGACTTGCCTTCTTTCTATTGTGACATACTGTATATTACTCCACCATTCTTAGAAACTGCCAGATAGACCAATTCAGGGCAAGTAATCGGATACTGTGGAAGATCTACAAAACGATAGCAATTCATCTTAACTGTCGTACCAAAGTGTTCTGGACTATAACATGTCTGTGCAAAGGAATGAAAAAACGAATCTCGTCTTACAAGCACTTGCGCAGGAATGTCAAATCTCGTCAATGTTATCGCTCCGTTCCTTCATTAAATCGTTTCGCCGTGGCCGTTAACGGGAAATGCACCCAAAACTCCAAAAGCAAAAAATAGTAAAAAACCAACGCCGTCCTGCCCAAGACTCCATCATAATGAGAGGGAAGTGAACCAAGAATAGAAATGCAGAAAAAGAGTAAAAAGCCAAAAAGGTAGCAAATAAGAAAAGGAAGTACTAGCCGCATCACTGGGTCAGGCGCACACGTCCATGAGGATGGATGGAACACTTGGCCAAGACACAGCAGTGAAGGCGAAGAACACGGGCCAAATAGCAATATATACAACCCGCCATTGAAGGATTTTTTTTGATAAGCCTTCACAGCCAATTTCCTAGGCCTTCGTTCTTCGGAGTTACCCGGTTATTAGCAGGACCATCCAATGCCAACTCCAGTCGAGGAGGCCTCTCATCCAGCAGACCCTTCTTCGGGCTCCCACCAGCCGCTTTAATCGGGGATTTGGTAGGTGATCCGGGCTCAGGCCGAGGTGGACCTTCGCGGACAGCTGTATAAGGCCAGCCATCTTCCACAGCAGCAGTAACCCATGTCCGCAAACAATCGTGGACTGAGGCATAAAACTTCTCTTTGCATGTTCTCAAGTTGCCACCCATAACCTTCTCGAATCCAGAAGCTCTGAGTTCGGCACGCAGTTTGTTACGCTCCTCCGCTGACGGCAAGGATGCCACAAGTCCATTCAAAAGATCTAGATGCGCAGCTAGATAATTGGTTGCATCCCATTCAACGCCACCCACATAGGGCGCAGCAGGTACCGGAGGTCTGGGAGCTGGGAAATGCCTTTCTCGATAAGTTTCCAAACCTGGTTGCTCACTTTTCACAATCGGTATCACGTTCAAGTGATGCAGGAATATCCAGAAGACTTCTTTGGTTACGTTGGTAACCTCTTTACACCATACACGGTACGGACGTGATTGGTATATGTTTGCTATAAACGCAAGGGGTTGGTTTTCTTCAGGCGGTGAAGGGTCTCGCAAGTACGACAAGATTCGGGTGGCACGAGATCCGGCATCCTCAGTTGACGATGCTGTGGAAAGTTGCGTGAAGAGAAGATTGATAATGATACTCCGCGTTGTGTATTCGCTCGGTCCTTTCTTTTCCTCGTCAAACAACATCTTCAGAAGCGCTGGGAAGATTTCTCCTTCAATAGCTGTAAGACGCTGTAATGCAATGGAGGTCGTGCAGAGCGCCTTCAAGCACAACAATGTTTCGTGGAGCAAATTGTCCTCATGTTCTTCCCTGTAGATGTGTTAGCGGGCACATTCTTTTTCAGGTAAAGGTAGACCAGGGGCCTACATACCTCCACTCAACCTTCATGATCCTGTAAAGCAATTGTATAATTTCGTCCATACCGCCATCTGCAATAAATGTATGAACCCAGCTGATTGTTTCATTCCGCAAGAGAAGTCGAAGTTTATGGATTTTTCCCACTTCCATCATCTCCGGCTTCTGGATCTCCCTCAGATAATGAACAAAGTCTGAGGGATCAGCTGCAGTATCCTGGCAGGCTGTCGCAGAGAGAGAGGTCGTAGAAGTTGACGGTGTCAATAACTTTGAGAGCCCTGGCTGTGAAAAATCAGCAGATTTTGGACGCCGATGGGAACTTCCGCTCTCCGGCCGTTTCTTCGTGGGAGATGAGCCCTTGGAAAAGCTGAACCCGCGACTTCTGGATCGCGACCGTGACCCTTTACTGTCGTTATTGTGTTGGTCTTCTTTCTGCTCCTTTTTGCGACCTCGGCGACCTGTACTGTCGTTGGTGTGCACGCTTATACTGGCACTATGAGCGCTTTCTGCTTTGTCCTTTTGAATAAAGTCCGCTTTGATATTAGTGTCCAAGGACCTCATCTTGTCCCTCATATTATGAGGAATGTTTCTTGCATCCTGGAATCACGTTAGCTGTATCCTTTTATTCTATTCTTCCGTTTACCCCCTCCTTCGTAAGGGACAGGAGTCTTGTGGATGTACTGACCAGAAGCTTCTCGAACTCACTCTCGAGGTCCTTCGAGTTCAAGCGTCTCTGCAGTTCCGCTTCTCGCTCTTTCGCATTGAAGGCGGATATGGCTGCCTGAACACGCGATGATTTCTTTGGGCTTTGTTCTGTTTGCTGCTCAGCAGTGTGGCGCGATTCAGGCTTGGATAGTGCCCGAGGCCGTCCCCTTCGTTTAGAGGGAGAGGAGGGTTCTGATGGATCAGAGGGCGAAAGCTTCTCTGAGGACATGTTCTGCAGTGATCCAAACAGCTCTCGCACCTTGCGATTGCCAGAAAGGAACTCTGATTTCGGACGAGGCTTAGGGTTGGCGCGGTTTGTGAGAGAGGGCTGATGATAGTCCCAAAAGTTACGCTGTTGGGCCGGTCCATACCCCTTGGGGGTGTAAAGTGAGACCTCTTCTTGGAAGGTTCTACGGTTGGAGGGGGAGGGTGGTACTGGAATCTGGTCATAGTATGACCCTGTCGTGTATTGGTTCCATATAGGTGATGGCATATTGTCGACTAAGTCCGTCGGGCTCCGATTTTCTTTATCCCGGCCACTCTTCGAGTTCTCAGTCTTTCTTCCGCGCTGAGACCGCTTCAAGATTGCTGAGAGACTGTTGGCTGATTTAGCCTTCTTCGGTTTCAAATCTTGGGTCTCGTTCTCGGGAGACTCTGATCGGTTGTCTTTGCGCTCCATGTAGCTCCTTAGAGACTTCAGGGACACAGCACTTTTCGTCTTCTTGTGTAACGTGTTCTTTTCCTGCTTACCAGGAGAGCTCTGTCGAGGTAAGCCATACTCTGCGGCGTCTCGATTCGGAGCAATTTCGGTCAATGGCTGCTGGCCCTGGGTGGCATAGGTCTGATCCACTGGAGACCAGAATGTACTGCGAGGAGGCTGGCTCTGGTAGGGATATTTGTAAGAGGTGGCGGCGTCGTCTGCGGAGGGGTTTCTCTTGTGACCTTTGGAAGACAAGATTCCTCGGAAGACGGATGGTTTGGTCGGGACACGGCTAGCATCGTC